ATTGCTTATGCTGTGTGTATTGTATATATGGGCACATATCAATTTGGGCATATATCAATGGGCATATATCAATGGACATACATCAATACACACAATTTTTTCCCCAAGATCAGGGACTAAGATGTGGAAGGAGAGTGATAGCTGGCATTGTGATATTACGCTGAATCTCAGTTAATGACTCTGGAATGTATTTTCATAATCTGAAATCTCAGGCACTGCAGTAAGACCCACACCACTGAAATATGTTTTTTTGCAATGGCTACACCAGAGTGTGTTGCTTTGCAACACCCCCAGTAAGCCACAAACCTCTGATTCCCCTCACTGACATGCAGAGTCTCTGCTGAGCTGGAAATAGACATCAGAGAGTTGTAGCTCGACAACTGGATGAGCAGTGTCAGGGATCTCATTCTTAAGAAATGTTTTGGACATATCCACCTGAACTGGATCAATTAAAACAAACAAACAAAACAAAAACACTTGGGTTTTTTGTTTGTTTGTTTCATTTTCAGTTTCTCATATTGATTACATAACTGGCACAGGGCATTGTGCAGGAAGTGATGACCAGAAGTCATTGGCAATATTTAGCTTTTCATTGACAGTCAGCTCCTTACAGTAATCCCTCTTGCAAGACTGACTTGCAAGTTATGGCTTAAAGAGACTGATTTGTTAGTCTGTAGATGCTCCATCAGAAATAGCAGCAGCTTTTCTTTTTGCCAACCAAGAGATAGACCTCAAATTGATCATTCTGTCATGGACAGCATTTTCAAACTCACCTTTGAGCACCAAATTAAAAATAGTCTGAATTTCACAGACCCAGACCACTTTCAATTTATGAAGTTGTGATACCAATGAATACTCAGCAGATTTTCAGAAACCCTACTTAAAACATTTTATTCTTTGTACAAAATGGACTTTTACAATAGGAATAAAGAGTGAAAATTTTGTTTAGCATTATTTGCATTTACATTGATATTCTCTTGTATTTCAAGCTCATGAATCACATTATTAGATACTAATATCTTTCCACAAATAAAGGTAGATAATTACCAACCAGCTACATAAAATTTCCTTTTTTATAACTTTATTTTTATTGTAGATCCCTAGGAAAATATGTATGCAATATGAGATGCATCATCTACATAATTCACATTGCAGATCATAGGACTGGTATGAAAATTCCAGTGAATAGTTAAATACATGAATGGATTTGTCAAAAATTACTCCCTTTTGCACAAAACTACAGAACAGGAGTGAGGATATCCCAGTATGCCATTGCTTCTGAGATGGATGCAGACCCACTAGATTTGCTCTCACATTCAACTTGTTCATAGGTTTCATAGGTTGTCCTCTAGTATGGTTTTGTTTTAGAGAGAAATAACCATTTATTTACTTCCTACACTCTGCAGCAGTATGGCATTATTAAAAAGATACAGTGCAAAAGCATCACAAGATACATGTCTGAAGAGGATTTATTTTAATTTATTAGTTGGAAAAAAGTACCGACTGGAAATTTTTATTGGGGACAACCAAGAAATGCACTGAAGCACACAATACATTACAAATGTGGATTATTTATATAACTTTTCAAGAAAGCAAAGCAGGTAAACAGTAAAATAATGAAAGTGTATTATTAACAGAAAAATATAGATGTAGCAAAAAAACAATAGAAGGACTTCTAGCTTGGCTAGTTGCCAAAGTTAGTATGTGCAATTACTTGTTATTATATAAGACAGAGACATTCCTGATTTTCTTTGCTCTGTTAAAAAATTAGTCCAGATATCCCATCTTGGAATGGCATTGATATTTAAATGGTGTTTCTTTGTCATTTTCAAAAAGTTGCATGAAAGGTGTCAGATCACACTTTGCTATTACTTGACTTACCCTCACTGTTTAACAGTTGAGCTCCAGCCATGCAAACATCAGCTGCCTTTCCCCCAAGTGTGTGTGATTGCAACTACAGCTCTTGGCCAGAACAAACTGCAGGAACACACCCAATATTAACCCCATTTATTTTCCTGAAAAGCCTTTGTATAGTGGAAACTTCTAGAGGAAAAAATATGAAACTCTTTTTCTTGCAGGTACTCTCACACTTGTTCAGACAAACTCTTGAAGGCAGAATACTTCTGCCTATGGGATAAAAGATGAAGTATTCTTCTCATCCAATACCTGTTATCAATAGAGGATATGTTCACAACAGGCACATACAGCAGAGCTGTTGCCTTTGCTCCAAGCAGGCAAACTCAAATCTGATCATCCTTTGGAAGAATCTACCCCGAGCAGGCTGCAGGCTGGCTGTCCAAGCTGATCCTGGAATCAAGTTCAAATTTTATAATATTACAGATACTAAAGTAACGGTGTTAAAGAAAATCAATGCAGAATTTAATCTTTCCTTATAGAGTTTTTATTTGCTTTTATCCTAACCAGTTTGCACTCTGAATTGGTTCCCCAGGCATAGTTATTTAGTACAGAAAAATCTAATATTATATCCTGTATTTCATGGCTCTAGTTCTTCAGAGCTTGGTTAATTCCATGACTTGGAGGGTCTGCTGTCTATCTGTAAGATCATGCTCTGTTTCTGAATGAGCTGGCAAACTCCAGCAGTCTGCACACAGCCTGGAACCCTCTGTTTGCACCTAATGTCTCAGTTCAAAAAGACTTTTAGACATATTAAGCACAAGCTAAGTGTGAAATGGGTATTCAACAGCCTTGTCAAACTAAAGAAAGGTCTTTTGGCTTCAACATGGTTGAGATTTCACCCTGAGAAAAAACCTGAGTATAGGATACTGCAAATCATATTGCACCCTCTGCCAGTCCCCCCACCATGGGAAGAGAGTGTTTACAACCATTTCACTGGAGCTGATGGAATGCAGAGAGGCATTCCAGCTGGACTGAAAATAATGCTGTTGAAGTGGGCAAAAAGAGGCTTTAAAAATCAGGACCTTAACTGCTCAGATTCTGTCCTCAGAATGCCAACAGCTTAAGGTGAGAAAACAGCTTTAAAACTCCAGGGCAAAATAAAGCACTTGCTGCTGATCTGCTTCATGTAGGATGAGTTGACCTTGCGAATTTTAGAACAATAAAATAAAATAAAAGTCAATAGCTCCATCACTAAATTAGCAAAACAGCTGCACCATTCTGTCAATGTCATAGGTTACATCAATAAAGTACTTTCACCTCTCTCTCACAGAAATCAGATAGCGATCTGTCTCATTAATAAAATGTTAAGGCTATAAAAGAAATAGTGAAACCAGCATTATACCTGCATAGTTCAGTAAAAATGCCAAAAGGCTATTTTCTGTAATGAGATATTGTACATCATCTAGGCACAATGGGCAAAAACCATAACAAATGGGGCTAAGTCAAGGAAACCTTCACTACAAGGTTCCTGTGGTGATATTCAAAATGTAAGTTTGGTGCCTGATGGGCAATTTAAGTGCATTGATCAACTAAAGTAACAAAAAGAATCCTTCTTATGCTCTCACCACCTATGTGATACACTGCACACCTGTAGGATGTGCCTGCACACCAGCAGCACACAAATAAGAGCTAAAATACACATGAAGATATAACATGCCAGGGGAAGCTGTGTCATCTGGAGGTGAGAAAGAGTTAACTCAGTGTAATGACTTGTGGCATTTCTGTTTTATGTCATACTGGATCACATTACAAGTCTTCCTCTGCCAGAGATCCGTGGTCACCTATTCTCCAAACACAGGTATTCCAGAAAAAAAATCTGTAGGTGCCTACAGATCTCATACCAAACATGTTTAGACATGGTCCTGCTGGTCAAAGAGTGTAAGACCACTTTCATACATTCACTGTTTTTATTCTACAGATCAGAGTTTTGCCATAACTAACAAATGGATGCTGAAATCTTCTATTATGTTTGGCACTTGAAGACTTTCTGAAGTCAGGTCTGGAGCTGTAAATTATTAGGTTGCCATCCATAATGCAAGGCCTGCAAAAACTCTTCTAAGAGGAATGCCTTTCCATTTATTAAAGGTGCTTCTCTAAATGCCATAGACAGTAAAATCCCAAGCTGCCAGTCAGAAGTGTGACCAGACTGCAGCATTCACTGCAGTGTGCACACCACAAAGTGAGGCTGTGGAAATAAGTGCTAACATGGTAAATTAGCCTCAGTATCATGGTCAGGAGTGGCTCACATGGTAATTGTAATCTAGCTTGATGTTACAGCTGGGGACAGTGCTGTTTAGAAAATCTCCAGTGAAAATGTTGTTTTAACAAAGTGTACTGAGATTCTGCTGTTAAATCATTAGAAAAGCATGACCAAGTTTTCATTTCACTTCATTTCATTTCATTTCACTTCATTTCATTTCATACGCACTCTTATTTATATCTGGTTTTCTGAAGAAATTACAGTAACATTATTTAGTACAGTTTTTTTCATAAAATTAAGATAAAGTGGATCCTTGTATTGAAAATACCTTTTCTTTTCATCCACAGAAGTTTATGGAAGTCATTACTTCATTGACAGAGCGTTTTCTTCCATCATCATAAAATCAATGTCAGGATTTCTATCTACCATTTTCCTGTGTTGAATACCTCTAAAACCTTTCTGATTAGTTCTATCCAAATGTAGAATAAGGATGAGATTTACCATATTAAATGCCTTCATCAATCACGAAGAATCACCTCACTTGCAGATATTTCTCCCATAAAATGTTTACATTACCCTAAGTGTACTAAGTCACACTTCAGACCTAGAATTCTCATCCTATTACTTATTTTTATTCACATAACTTAAATGAACCAAGTAAGAATTAACATATGAAATTACTGACTTTTGAAATACCCTGCCTGGCAAAAGTTGCTTGTTACCAGTAAAACAAGGCACTGAAACTTCACCCTGAATATGCTGTGCTTCTAAATCTATTTAATTCCAGTTTGTTGAGTCCTTATTCATTTTTCAGCTGTGAAATATCACCCATAGTCTAACTTTAATGAAATGCCTTTTTGTTCAATTTGATTTACTATTTTAGCTCCAGAAGTGTTCCAGGCTTTTATGGATGGAGGTCCAGGATACTCGTACCCGGTAGACTGGTGGTCCCTAGGAATTACAGCATATGAATTACTGAGGGGCTGGGTAAGAATGATGGAATTTTTTGTTTTCTAACAAAAATCTCAAGTTTGCAGTGGCCCTGAGTGCGCTCTTCAGGATAAAATTTGAGTGTGCAAGGCCCAGGTCAGGAATGCTGCCCTGGTTCTTCCCCAGCTGAAAACACTCTTGGGAAAGTTTCACCTCCTACTCAAATTATGGAAACTTGCCTCAGTTTGGCAAAGGAAAAGCCTAATGTTTAACAGCTTCTTTATAATGCTGAATTGCAAACAATGGTATTTTTTTTAAAATAGAAGTTGAGTTACTTCACACTCTATTTTCTCTTTGATTCTCTTGGCTAATACCATAAGAGATCTAATCTAATTTCCTAAGATGCTTGGCCCAACTACAGAAAATTCTTAGTGCCAGTGCATTTGTTTCTTATCTAATCAATTATGTGAATAAGCTTAATGAAAAATCTTCCTGAGCATGGTTGAATATCACAGAAGATAATGGAAAACTCTTTTCCATTTTGGTCCAAAGGATTTCAGTCAGTTGCTTAAATATTTACTATTCCCCACAGAAAACAGTGATTTAGATACTATTTCAGGATGATGATGTAGCTAAAGCAGCTGTTTGGGGTTTTAAAAATTATTTTTCATGCCTGTTTTGGAAAGTGGATGTTATTGCATTGCAGTACTTTTTTTTATATTATGACACTAATAGAGTTTGGCTACCTTGTCAGACAATTCAGCCCACAAAGATCTCACAATTTCATGTAGGAGAACAGATAAAGGAAAATAGAAATAAGAAATAATTATTATTCTTATTTTTAAATGGAAAATTTAATTTCAGAGTGTCGGCATATTGTTACTTCAGAAGCGACTTTTTCCAAAGGCCTAAAATTTGGCCAATCTATTTTGTATTTCCATAGGAATAACAAAAGTCATGCTCCTGAAACAAAGATCTCTCCCATGCAAAGACTGTTTCATCCCTCAAAATAGAGGAGTATTAAAACCTTTCTTAACAAAAACAACAAACTGACAATTATTATCAATTTTTCTCTACCATAATTCTCAAACCTTAGGGAGTTTTTAGACTGACATTATTTCTGGAATGGAGGAGTTAAAGTCTGGCAGTGATAAGCATAATACATCCTCAGTCCTAGTCACAGACAGTAGTTCTAGCTGCACTTACAGCAAATTAAGAGAACATTTCTGATGGTTTTATATCAACCCTTTCACCAGTGACTGTCTCCAAGAAAGGAGAGCAATGATAGATTGTTAATGAAAGCTGAACTCCCAAGACTAATCACAAAAGATCACTTTGATGTGACAATTCACTTTAAAAATAAAAAAAATTATATATGATATCCATTTGCCGAGACCCATACAGTCTTTCCTGAATAAGTCAGTCTGGCTACAAACAAAGCACAGTTGAGACTGAATCAATTTCTTGTTAGGTTTTTTATAAAATAAAAATGTTGCCATCTGAACCTGCTCAAGCTACCCAAGCCAGCTGCTTGTTTTCTCCTGACGAGCAGCTCTTGGCTACCGAGCCAGCCAGAGGATGGCTTGGCAGCTCACACCACTGCATGGACAAGGAAAAGGTGTGTATTTTCCAAATTTCTGTAGTCTAAACAAGGCCTAAACTGACCCGAGTGATGACAAGAGGAGTAGCAGTGGGTTGAGGAGATGTGCTTAACCCGAGGCACGTCGCTGTCTCAACAACTGCGAGCTCGGGAGCCCCATCTGCCGCAGCAGCAGATGGCTCTGGAGGCGCAGTTTGCACACAAGGCTGAGAGCTAAACCTGCCGGCACGCAGTCCTGCTCCTCCAGGCGCCCACAGCTCTGTCCAGCAGAGAAACAGCCAGAGGGAACAGCCTCATGCCCCCTGAACACGGGCAGGCTCTCGGAGCAGCCCACCCGCGCCCGCAGCAGCAGCCCTGGGCAAGGAGGAGCTGTGGCACGGGGCAGAGCCACAGGACACAGGGCTTTCTGCAGCTGGAGCCTGCTCCGTGCTGCTGCATGGGAAAGGCAGGAGCCAAGGAAGGAGGCAGCAACAGAAATAAGAAACATCGCAAATTTGATTTTCCACCTCGGAGCTGTGCATAGCGTACGATACTGACAGCCTGAATTCAAGAGGTGATAAGGAAAAGAAAAATGAGTAAAAATTAGTTGTTTGTCAATGAGCTGAATTTTTGGTTTTATTTGCATCTGCTGCTCAGGGTGATCAAGGCATTCCAGCCATTCTCATTTCTGGCTTCCCACTGCTGGGCAGCCAAAACCATGTCCTGCTTAAAATGAGCCTGTAAACACAGGAGCATGCTGTGTCCAGTACAGAGCTTTCTGCACCATTTTTCAGTAATCCATAGTGTAACTAACATTTCTTAATAAGTTATAGGTACATTTTTCTCCTTATCCAGCTGCTGGTAAAAAAGCTAGCAAGAAAAATACAAATTCATACAGCTTTGCCTCAAACATCGATCTTCTCACAAAGTACAAGAAATTAAACTATAATTAAACTGTATGCTGCAAACCATGCCATGTGCCAGTCTGGTCCTGAGCTATAGACAACTGATAAAATGCTACAATAAATGTATATACCATGAATTCAGTAGAGACAAAGTGAAGGAATGAGTAGTAGGTGGGATTCCCAGATTCTGACTTTCACTGCAGTGTGAACAACTAACAACAAACCTTGACAAAAAATCCTCAACAAAAGCAAACCAGATTTCTTTCCTTTTTCTGCAAAATATAACTGAAGGAATCCTTGAGTGGATTGAACAGCTGAAAAACAGGGGAGATAGAGGTTTGAAGGGCCTCAAAAGACTAAACTTATAATGGCCATTTATAGTTTGAATTAACTAATAAAAACATTTAAAATGTCTGCAAATCTCAAAAATTCAAGATTTTAGAATGTCAATAATCTTGAAAATAAGGCAAATTTTAGGGATTTTCCTGTCAGGAAAAATGCATGGGCAGAAACATCCTTAACAGAAAAACTTTTGATGATTTGTAATTCCTTATAGTTGCTAATTTTTGAGTTAATTGCCATTTTCAACAATTAATGTACATTCTGACTCAATGATCCTATTGATCACGTTGTTAGATCAAGTTAAGTCAGCAGTACATTGCTTATCGGTGACAGAAAACATGCAAAAGTCTCATTTTTAAGAACTGTTTCATGGCAACATTACCACATGTAGAGGAAAGCATATAACAGACTATTTCTACTGACAATTTTTAACCCAGTTCAGGAAAATTATGCATTTAAAGTGATGTTTAAGTTCTGTTGAATTTATATGGACATGGTATAGCTAAATGATAATGGGCTAACTGAATGTGAATCAAAGCAAAAAGATTTAGACCCTCCTTGAATGTATTTTTAGAGCACCTGAGTACCTTGGAATGCACTTGGTTTCATGCATATGAAAGTTAAATATATGCATGAATTGCCCCAGAATAAGAACATGTCCTGGGTATTTATGAGGAGTTACTCCAATTCCTTAACAGATTAGATAACTAACACCTAGAAATATTCTTAAATTATAATCTTCTACCAGTACATACTAGCAAAAGTCAAGGGATGATTCATTTCTTAGTCAAGGTAATGAGTGTCTGCCCTTTGCTGTTCAGGATATTGGATTAATAGGTAATTCTATGTTGATTATGAATTATGATGCATTAATTTACACACTGTTGCTGGGATGGCATTTAGCTGCAGATCTCATATCACATATTTATCACCTGCTGGCTAAAACTTAATTCACTAGCAATCCACTCTCTGCACTTGTTTACAAAAATACATTAAGTATAATTATAACAACTTGCTTCAAATACACAAGTGTGTGCACAGAAAATAACAAGAATATAAAATTATATGTAGTATTTTATTTCCAAATTCTGCATGTAATAAAAGATAAATCAGAGAAAACTTAATGAATAAAGCACTGCAAAGATCAGAGCTTTTCTTCATCTATAAAAGAAATTAGGCACTGCAAACACATGACAGCAGATCTATGTAGTGTGTTAATTTTGGATTTTAAAAAAATCAAACAAGAAAAATTGGTATTTGGAGTCCTCTTTTTTTACTGTGATTCTGACACAGACTTTTGTAAGCACTTTTTAGTTTCTTTCTCTTCTATACTCAGTAAAATAAGGATGACAAAGCTCCTTTTGTCATCAGTTTTGTTGGTTTAGGTTGCAAGAACTGATCACTAGGATTACAAGCAAAAAGTAGTAAACAATCCACATTTCACATGGAACGCCCCAGGAACAAAATTATTTATTCATCTCATTTGAACTGATACTTCCTTTCATGAGAGAAAAATTTGCAGAGGAAATGCATCTATGAGTAATTACATTCATTGCAACCAAAGAAGAGCACACACACAAAGGATTAGACTTAAAATTGTTATACAATATTTTCGTGGGTTTGATATTTTCAAGACACACAATACTGAGCTCAGGAAAATGTGACTAGTCTGCACTCTTTTATCCATTGTTTTTGACTTGATGTTGATTTAATTTTATCCCAGAGGCCCTATGAAATCCATTCAGCCACCCCCATCGATGAGATACTCAACATGTTCAAGATCGAAAGAGTTCACTACTCATCCGCATGGTGCAAGGGCATGATAGCTCTACTGAAAAAGGTAAGAAAGCACAAATACCTTCTGTCCTCTTTTCTCTCCTCTTCCTGAAGCCTCTCCAGCTCTGGAAAAGGCATCAGACAAGCACACACATTAGGCAGCCAACATCTCAAGGATAAGAGAACAGAGCTTATTTCTAGCTGCTCTGAATGTGAGCGGTGTGGTATTTTCAGAAGGTGCAGTGTTCTTAGGCTTAGACTCAGGCTTTTCATGGCTTCAAAGTAAAAGTTTTAAATTTCTTTTATTTTAAAGCTGATTCACTAGAGATAGCAAAAGTTTGGGGTCAGTAATTCCTCTTTGTGCCCTGGCCTCATTACCCCCCCAGATATGAATATACAAGTGGGACAGGGAAGGAAGGACCACTCTGCCCTCTGAATTTCTGCTGCAGTTTCCAGACAGGGAGATTAGAAATTAGAATGGCTGTATTCCTTCCTGTCCCATGTTGCTATAGTTGCAATAACAAAAGTCAAGCCACTTTGCTGTAAACATCACTTAACCACAAGGCAGGGCTCTTTCTGAATGTATCCAATGCTAAAAATTGTTTTCTTCCTAAAATCAAAGTTTTTTGTTTGCTTTAATTGCCTGACTACACCACAAAGATAATCTCTCTCTTTTAGGTATTTCAGATCATCAATACTGATTCTTGAACAGGAAATATTTGTGAATGTCTGAATAGAGTAATAAAAAATATGTCTTTAGCAGCAATTAGCAATGTAGTCTTGAATAGATAGAGCAGTGAGGTGGATAATTTTAATTGTTGCCAGGATTCTCAGTGTAACTGTGTTTTCCAAAAAATTTAAGAGAAAATAAAAATTGTTGGGTGGCATTGATCTGTGATGTTTCATTTCATGAGGGCTCTTGTGTATTTGTAAGCAGACTTTTGTTGCTAATACATTTATACACTTCATGCCTGCAACAGCCATCTGGTGGCAATTAAACTGTACTCATATCCTGTGACTTATTACTTTTAATTTTTTTTCAAAACTGGGACTTCTAGCATCTGTTAGAAGATTCCCTAGCCATTTTCTTACTTAAAAATATGTAACATAAAATTCATATGTGCGATACATTTGCTGTTCTATATGACATGCAGTTCCTTAGAAAATGCCTTGTGCTTGATCACAGCTCCTCATTAAGGACCCAGAGTGTCGCCTTTCAAGCCTTGCAGACATCCAGAACTCTCCATACCTGGCTGATGTCAACTGGGATGCTGTTCTAGAGAAAGCTGTGACCCCAGGCTTCGTTCCTAACGTAAGTCAATATTCCAGGTGAACAGTGTAAATTCTGACTTTAATTATCACCACTGTTTTACTTGTTTATGCTTGTGTTTATTGCCCTTCAGTGATTTACTTTGGTTTCTGCTTTCATTTACTCAGTCACTGCTAAGGGAAAATTTGTCCCATTCCAATAGATCACAACAAAAACTAATTAACCTTGGTTCACTTTTCGTTCCTTTTCAAATAAAAGAAAACCTTTTCCAGACTTTGCATTTCAGCTGTTATAGTAAATGATTGTCAGAGTTAACTCTGAGACAAAGAATACCAAGAGGACTGTTGTGGCTGTGAAAGTTAGACATTTGAATACCATTTGGAAAATTTTTTAACATCCCAGTATGCTGTTACTTTTTCACTTAAAAATATTATTCCAAAAGGCTGACCTATTTTCTTTGTGACAGTTTCTTACAAATAAAACATTCAGATTCTGTGAGGGAATCTGGTGGTTTCTTTTTACTGTGGTCCCATTTTGTTGGTATTTTCTGGATATTTCCTTTTTGCTCATTTTCAAGTTAAATGTATTTGAAGGCCATGAATAAAAAGCAATGACTGTAGTGTTAATATGCTGCTTCACTTTTTTCAGCCATGTTGCACTATAATTGTTATCCAAACAACATATTTGTAGCATACCAAGGTTTGTTTCTGGGTTTTTATATTATGCATATATTTTTATATCATGTAAGAAAAGATGTGGAAGGTGGAATAGGTGGACCCTGTCTTCATCCAGGTGCGCATCAGAGTTCATGATAAACTTGATGGGGACAGGATCCAGCCCTTCAGAAGCTGAAGGTGAGCGAGCATTGCATAATGGAGCAAAGGTAGCCAGGTGTGTTGCAAAGACACTGTTCTCTGTGATTGCTGGGCCCCTGGGCACCTGACCAGAGCCTCTCTGGAAACAGCATCCTGCAGGAGAAGAGAGCGGTGGGTGGGCAGGCAGGGTCTCCCTCAGGGAACTGGGAGAAAGACCAGGAACACAGCACGTAACAAGCACACAGGAGAAAGGAAAGGCAGGCCCCTCTTACAGGCACTCCAGAGCAATGTTAATTTGTGGGGAAATTCCTTCCTTTCACTTGCTCAATCCTAGTGCAAGAGAGAAGCTGGAGAGGTGAGTGTCATATCTACCAGGCCATGACTCTTTCACTCTTACTTGATGCCCATGCAGCTGGAATAATTGCTGTGCCAGGCCAGGATCCTCCTCTACACCCTCTCAGGTCACTGTCCTAAGCAAAGCAATGCAGAACAAATCCCCTTCTTATCCTCCATTCTCCTGGTGTGTGGAGACTACAAGATGAGTGGAGACTGACTTTCCTCTTTTCCTTTTTTCAAGTTAGAGCTGCTTTTAGAGACATCAGAGGTGTGGACTTGCTCCTCAGGCAAAACTCAACCAATTATTTACTTCCTACTCCCAGCTAAAGGTTTAATCCACAACTGCAGCATATGGAAAATTTCACAACATAGTATTTCATAAGGGAGATCCAGTTCCCAATACCCAGAGATGCAACGTAGGTGGGGTTCCAGGAGTCTCAGACTCTGCAAAGATAGCTTTTCTTTTCACATTTGGATTCACTTTATTTGTGTTTTGGCAGCATCTATAAAACGGAAGGAGAAATCTATAATATGTGAAGCAAAATAATATTCCACATTTAAAAGGAAATAGGAGTAAAGTGTTTCATTTATCTATCCAGAATTATCTGAAAGTCCCATTACAAGCTCTACCAGACTCTTCCATGGAGAGTCTGATACTGCGGGGCTTGTTCCACCTGGTCGATCAAGTGTGTCAGGAAAGCAGTGAGGTGAGAACCAAAGTGTCTTTTCCAGCCCAACATTTCTTTTCATAGAAACTTTGCTGTTTCATGACACCAAGCTTGGTCACACATTTTCGAGGAACTTTTTATTTGTAGCATCTGCAAAACTTTCACTGATTAATTGAGGCCACACAACAGAATATTTCTTTTTTTTCAGCCTTTGATGAGAAGGTGAACTGAGGCCTCTGTGACGTGTTTTGAAACCAGAGGGTTTTATAAATTTTGACAGCTTATCTGGACTGTCAGGAGCTTGTCTGCCCTCTGCAGCTAGAAGGGCACACAGGAGGCCCATAGCTTAATTTCTAACAGCTTAATTTGATTCCATAAACATAGCTCTTACTTAACTAGCACGTGTGTTTCTTTATGGCTTAGTTAGATTCTTCATTTTCAGCTTAGAGTCATAAATTGTTGTAGGGTTTCTTAAAATACAATTTGCTTTTATTTTTAAAGCTTTGGAATTAAAGTGATATAATTTTTAAGTACTGAATCAAATCTAAAATCTATGTTCTACTAAAGCTGACTGGATAATATGCAGGAAAAGGCACTAGTTTGCTAGGAATAAAAATGATGGAGTGATCTGTAAACCAAATGTTTCATTGTAGGACACCACAAATTATACAAGTAGTTTCTGATGTGATTTTGCTGCTTAGTGTCTTTGCTTACTATAAATATCTGTCATTTATGTATGACTTATTTTAGTACTTCCACCTTGACAGTGACAATGATGTGATTGAAATCTCAGAAGTCCCAGAGGAAAATAGGTTAACATCTCCCACTACACAATTCAAATTGTTTGCAAATATTTTGTGAAGGACTTTCTGGTATAACAAAGGATCTTAAAATGTGAGTCAAGCATCAGAAATTAGCATGGCATTTTTTAAATAAAGAATCCAAAATATTTAAGTAATATGTGTAATGGATAAGGAAAACCTCAAGAAAGTGGATAGAATAGAAAAAGAATAATAGATTAGAATGAAGCACCTGATTGGGAAAAGCCAGCAATGATTCACCAAGGACAAATGGGATTTTCCAAACTTTATCATGACAAGGTAACCTGCTCAGCTGATATGGGGCAAGTGGTTCTCATTGTTTACCTGGATTTCTCTAAGGCTTTTGAAACAGTTTCCCACTGTCTCCTTTGTGAGATATTTATGTGTTATGGTATAGAAAAGTGATCCATGTAATGGGTGGGGAACCGGCGATGGGCTGCACCCAGGGGAGGTGGAAAAAGCTGCTCCTCAAACTGGGAGCCTGTCACAAGTGGGGTCCCAGGGATCAATATTGGGTCCAACACTGCTTAAACCCTAACAAATTATGTGGATCAAGGGATCAAGTGTACCCTGAGGAAGACACTGATGATACGGAGCTGAGTGAGAAACTGGACACCTTGGGAGAACTACCCTGCAGGAAGACCCTTTAGGAGTGGGCTAACAAGAACCTTATGAACTTCAGCAAGTGTAAGGTCTTAAACCTGGGAAAATATAGTCCAGGGTGGGATTTGTCCAGCTGAGGAACAGTTCCAGCAGCTCTGGAGGTCCAGGTGGACAGCAAGCTCAGTGTGGGGGACCAGGCTGCTGCCATGGCAAAGAAAGCCAAGGGGATGTTGGCTTGCATCAACAAGTGCATCACCAACAGAGACAAAGAATTCATTGCTCCACTCTACTCAGCACTTGCCAGGCCACACCTGAAATACTGTATTCAGTTTTGGTCCCCACTACACAAAGAAGATGTGGACAGGCTGGAGAGGGTCCAGAGAAGGGCCACAGAGATGATCAGAGGAGTGAGAAATAGGCCATAAGTGGAAAGGCTGAGAGAACAGGGCTTGTAGAGCCTTGAGAAAACAAGGATTAAGGGAGACCTTATCACCATGCCCCACTATCTAAAGGTTAGCTACCAAGATGGAGACTCCCTTTTACAGGGGGTCACATGGAAAAGACAAGAGGCATTGGGTACAAGTAACTCCTGGGAAGATTCCAGCTGGACACAAGAGCAAAATTTTTCATAACAACAATCAACCATTTCAAGAATCTGTCCACAAAAACAGTGGAGTCTCTAAAACTGGACTCTTTGAAGATTCACCTGGACAGGTTGCTGGGCTATCTTGTCCAGACTGGGGACTGTGGTTTTGCCCAGAAAAGTTGGACCAGATGATCCTTGACACCCTTTCCAACCTGGGATTCTATAATGCTCTGAACTCTTTTTTATATGAATGCTGCTAACCTAAACAGGCCTGCTCCTTCCTTTGTTCTCATGGACAGCATCTAAGTAAATGAATCCACTGCAACACTTCAGCAAATCAGATTTCAGCAAGGTCTTAGAGGTACTCCCCAGCTCTTCTGCACTATTGCTGGTGTCACTATTACTCTTCAGCACTAACTGATATTCTGATGAAGACCCTGGGCCAGATTAATCTCTCCCTGGGTAACATAACTTTTGTCACTGTAGGAATATATCTGTTTATAACCAGGAAGAGAATCTAACTCTTTATAATTGCTTTATAATATGATTTTTATCTTGTCTCCCTTATTTAAACTTTGATCATCACTTCAGGCCTAAAAAGACAGTTTTCATTTTACAGATGTGATTTAGGAGCTGGCTCATTATTACTGCTGTTAACACTTGCCAAGCAAATTAAAAAAACACAACGATGCTTCAAAGATTAACTGTGAATCCTTTTGTACCAGAAAGGAAGACTGAACTGTGATCCCACATTTGAACTTGAAGAAATGATTTTAGAGTCCAAGCCTCTCCATAAAAAGAAGAAGCGACTTGCCAAAAACAAATCCAAAGATGGAGCTAAGGAAACCTGCCCACTGGTAAGATGGGGACTGTGACTGCAGTCAGTGGCATTTTGCTTACACTCTAATAGTGTAATAATAATAGTAAACTCAGTTATGTTCAGCTTTATCACCTCTGAAAATATACTCAACCTCTCTGTCATTTTATACATTGCATAAATCACCTCCAAAGCGAGATGAAAAGCAACCATTTATTTCATTCAAATAGTAACAACATCTTTAAGCTAGAATAATTTTTAAGATTATCACAGATGCTCATTTAAAGTAAGAAAAACTGTTGCCGGTAGCAAAAAACACTTCCCACACATGCACAAATAGTTACAAAGAGTATTTATTTGCTACTACTACCCACAACTGAAAAGGCTTGTTATTTATAAATATGTTAAAGCTGTCTCTTCCACTCTTGACTAATGTGTGCCATGTAGAAAGATGCATTATATGAACAGTCAAGAGTACCAAGAAGATTAATAATAATTTCCAGACCTGAATTATCATCCCAGTGAGGTTTTATAAATTATGCTGCTACTCCTAATGATTTTGGATGTTCATGCAAGCTGTTCTTCCTAGAGCTATCAGATGTAAAAATCCTCAGGAATTCTTTGTGAGGAACTCCTTCCAAAAGAATGAGATTGATTGTGCTATCACAGCCCAATTTAATGAGTCTTCGAAATGCCTCTTGATAGCATTCATTCATAAGCATTTTGTTCAGTGTTGTTTGTGTTATTGTGATTTTTGTCTATGATTCCTCATCTTTTTTAATCAACCTATTCATGCTGTTTTTTAAAGAACGTACACCTGCAGCAGTGCTTGGAAACCGTTAGGAAAGAATTCATCATATTCAACAGAGAGAAGTAAGTGCATTTCTTAATGCCTCTTTAGCATTCAGTACTAAAATTAAATTGAGAACTATTTTTTTTCTCACAGTGTAAGGGAAGGTGATTAATGATCACAGCAGCAGAGCCTAAAAGACTGGATTTCCATTGATTTCTTCTTCTTATAGTCTCTGGTGTGATGGTTTTGTAGTTCTTGCATCTCTGAAAGCAAGCAGAAGACCTTGTGATGAAAGTATGTTAGAAATGTGAGGTAAATGTTACTGGAACTCCCCAGAGAAACTGTCAGTAATTAAGAAGAGGAATGCAATAAAAGGTACTGCTTTTTCACAACTCAAACAAAACCAAGGGAAGTCATAACTCATGAAATTTTAATGCTATTGACAGCACTGTTCTGACTTGGAAAAGCTGTTCATACTTACCCACTATTAAAAAAAAAAAAGTGTATTCCAACATTAACTATTTCAACAAAGCTAAGTATTACACCTCTACCAAACATGAAGCAAGAACTTCTAATCTAAGGGTCAGCCAGGGCTGACAGAAGCACAAGACTGATTCCCAAGGATATCAATAAACTTCCTACTTCAATTAATGCACTGCCTTTCTTGTAATTACTGCTTCTGAGTCATTGTGGACCTGTTTGTATTAGCAGATACAAGTCATAACAATGGATTTGTTTGTGTCTTTGGTCAAATTATTGCATTTCATTCAAGTGAATTCCATGTTTTTATTTGATCTAATTATATATGCGAGCCTTTCTAATAGAGTTGTGAGATGTTAAAAATTATTTTAAAAGTTGTGACTATTTTATTTAATGCATACAGTGCAGGTAATTACTGTCTCTGTAATTAAAACTGAAAAGGAACTGTCAGCTTTGCACAGTTCACACAATAGCACACAGGAAATTATGCCACGATCTACCTTTCTTCCTGTTACAATCCAAGGCACATTTCTGACTGATACAGACTCCTCACAGAAAATACAAGGTCTTAGAAAGAAAAGGAAGGTTCAGCAGATTCTTCACGTTATTTTGCATGATCTCTAGTACGAGGAAGCCACTGGTTTCTGTAAAAGCCATAAAGAAGAGAACCCAGACCAAGTCAGCCCACAGAAACTTTCAAGAAGCATCTTGGTGGGTTCCTTGAATCAGTTGAACTAGTGAATGTTTGAACTTTGTAGTTTAACCCACAAAATTAAAAATTATTAAGATCATATTAACAAGATTAGAAAAATATGACATTGGTTAATCAATTTAATGAGTTTCCTAGAAGCTGTTCATACAAGTAATTCATTTCCAGGTGTGAGTCTCCCACATACCCTACAGTCATATATGAGGCATATCCAATATGCAGCAATTTTTGGAAGTCAGAACACTAGATTTTGTAAGACACTCAAAATCTCATTGGTGCGTTCACTACCTTGAACAATGTTTCTTGTCATGATTTTACTGCGTTATTCTTAAATCTTTTTATGCATAGAAAATTTTTTCATTTGTTTCATATTGCACAACTACAGTAACAACACAAGCTATAAAGAACTCTGAAATCAAGAGAAATGGAGTACAAGTAAAATGGAAGCAAAGGATAAACCACATGCACTTCAACCAGAAAAGCATGTGTTTTGGTCATTGCTTGATTGGCTTTGACAAGGTAAAAGAAGAATATTTAGTTTTGACCTATAACAGATCCTGCACCAGATCACAACCATTTCTCTTTTCAATTGCATCATAGCTTAAGAAAGACATGGAGAGATTCCTGTAATATTTTTCAAGGAAAAAAAATGTTGAGAAGGGGGAAGCAGGAGTCAAATGTTTGAATTGCAAAGTGAATTCAAGTTAATGAGAACAAAACAGGAGCAGTGGCAGGCACAGCTGCCATATACCAGAAGCTACACAGCATACACCAGAGGAACTCAGGGTGGGCTTCCTCAGACCTTCTGTGCCCTCAGGACTGGATGAACAAGCTGAGGCTGTGCTTACATGAGTTTCCAAAGCCACATGGCCAACAAGTTCCTAGGAACAGCTGAAAATGCTGACAGATGTGAACTATTTCTTTCTACAAATATAATACATATTAAAATGTGATTGTATCATTAGATGAGGTGTCAATCCCAAACAGGCCTTTAAATCACTCTCAGATTAATGCAGCCAGACATTCTGATATTCCTCCATGTTCCTCTACATAGAAACTGTTGAAAGTATCTGCTTATTCCCTTAGATCTTCATTAAATTCAGCAGCAAAAAATCTACATTTTATTGTCACTTAAGCCTTCTGCTCAGTTTACTTCAGTGTCACAGAATGCTGCATAAATACAAATAAAGGATGGGAAAAAATACCTTGTCTTTCAAGGGAAGAAAAGAGACTCCTTAAACTACAAGGATGCAAGGAAAAAATTCAGATACTTCTAACTGAGCAATATAAAGTCAGGTGTTAATACATAGTTAATTTTGTGGTGTTAGCCATCACAGTTACACAACATCCTGCAATCCAATACTTGTAAAATATCTGCTATGAAAAGCAAAATCTGGTATTTTTGAATGCCTTGCTGGTAGTTCTACACTGTGCCTCTTTTCTACTGTGTGTCTTTCATCCTGCAACAGACACTGCAAATCTTGCAATGTGTCATACTGGCTTTCTTCTCAAGAAGCTCAGGAGATTATCAGAAACTCTTAGATTGCAGGCAAGAGGAGCAGGGGAGGCAGGGAAAAGGCCCACTATGCTAAAAAGAATTTAAACACAGTGAAAGAGACTGGAGTACATTAAAAGTTTTGGTTAATGAAGACAAAGACAGAATGTGCACATTTATTCTGTTGCTTTCTGTATTTAAGTAATGGAAAACTGGTATTTGTAGGAATGTTTTAAGCAAGGGTTTCATGGACAAAGACAGGAAGTTAGCGATTGTCAGCAGTGGGTAAAAAGTTAGATTTGTATCCCTTACATAATCCTGATTAGAGCGCATCTTCTGTTGAATATTTCAGTGGATGTGAGCTACAAATTAAAATAACTGTGTGTGTGTGTGTGTGTTTTGATGCGACATGGGGGTATGGCATCTGTCCACAGTGACATTATCTTCCAGTACCTACAAGAGAGGGGCACACGCTGCCCTGATCCAAAGTAAAATAACATAGGAAAATCCTTTTGCAGGATTTGTTTCCTAATGTTAAAAGTGTCAGTGTAGCCTCTTAGTTTTGAACACATAAACTAAATAAACTCTGATATACAAATGATCTACATACTGATTAGCTTGAAAATAGTATCTAAAGTAGTTTTCAAGGATCTATTTGTCTCCTTTTTGTGGCAAAATAATCATTTTTTAAATTTAATTTCTGTATTTTTTATTTTTTTAATATCCAGAAACACAGCACCAAACATTTTGCAGCATCTTAATGTGTATTTCCATATACTTGCCAGCAATTTTTAAAGAATTTTATATCATTTAGAAGCTGTAGGCTACATTTTCAAGTTTTCTTTTTTTGAATTTTGTGTGTGTGTCTGTGGTGGGGGAGATTGTACAGATAAAGCCACACTGTTTGCTTGTAGTTTTATTAAAAAGCTGATCAGAGATTATATTGCGATTTTTGTACTGTTATCACTAAACAGATCTTCACATACAACTACATCTCTTCATGAATAACTAAAATATGGAATGACCAGAAATTAAGAAAAAGACCCAATATTTGCATGTGATGAAATCATATTTCTTACCCTTTAAGGTCCTGAGTCTCTTCTTCTCCCTGAAAGATGCCTTTTAGATTGAAGATGTGAGAAATCAAAGAAGAGAGAAGAAAACACAAGAAATATTTACTTATCAGGCAGAATAATCCTTCAGTTAGATGCTTCACAAACTTAAAATAATCAGCCTGATAAAGAAAGCAAAATCAAACATCCACATTTTACTGAGTAGAATATATATTTCATATATCCAATGTACAAGAAAATGGGTTAGAATTCTGCAAAACTATTTTAACAAATGCAATGAACTGATTAGAAAAATATCCATGTTTTTAATAATTCCAGCAAGAACTTTCAAAATATTGCTAGTGATTTTGAATTTGGAGGTTTTTAACTTAATACTAATATGCTGCAATAGCATTGTTATGATATTCACCTGACTTGTCCCCACTGATCTGAACAGATTTGTCTCTGCCCTAAGTACCGATACGCCTTATTCCTCTGCTCAGTATTTGTT